CCCCTGAAAAGGAGGAAAACACACACACATACACACACACGAGTACCAACCCACCCTAGTACTGGCACAGCAAGTAACTGCAGGCCTTTGAGCCCTGAGAAAAGGGAATTTGACATAGATGTCCTATTTGTAGTTGAGCACTCTAATGTGACTTGCTCTCTGTAGTTTAACCAGTTGTAAAGTTTTTTATGTTAACTGCTGTCCACTAAACAAAGTATCTTCTTTAATGAGGTCTGAGAGCTTCACTAATCTGTAGATATAGAGACATGAATTTATAGGATAATTTAATACTGAGTTCATTTAGCAAATATTAATAGTAAGTTAGCACCTGGGGCTTATAAGCTTCCCAAACCATGGATTCTTGTCCAGATTAATAGTATTAAGCATATATTTCCTTATCCTTGTGGAGTGGGCCTTAAATACTATCAGAAAGTAGTTGGGTACCTCCATTTATGCTCCTATGTCACCAATGGTCATATGTTACCACATTGATCACTACTGTAACTCACAGAGTTCACAGCTAAGCAAGACTATTTGTGACTCCCCCCATACCCTAGTATAGCACCTTCTGGTACTGTGAAAGCTATCTAGCATGGAGAAAGCTTCTTAGTATCAACTTCATTTATCCATGCCCTGTGACTAAGGTGTGTGGTGTCTTTGGTAATAAGATCCAACCATCACATTATGGGTTACCAACAGCAATTACCTGTATTTGTATAAGATATTTATTAGTTCTGGACTTCTGTGATTTTTTCAGGTTAACTCTCCTACAACTTGTAGCTTCACAGATGTAATAGGCTTGAATAACTACAAAGTTATAACGTTACTCAAATAATTGTTTTGGCACAAAAAAAGAGATCAGATTTTATTTAAGGGTGGGGGGAGGGAGAAAGAGAGAGAAAGGGTAGGGGGCATATACTAACTGGCTAGATGGGTAAAAGACAAAAATCAAAGGGCAATGAAGACTATTAAGAGACATTAAGAGACCAAATTTGGGCATAATGACCTATAGTGTTCCTTTTTCTTCCATATAAGTTATATTTGCAAATCTGAAGTGAAGAGGAACATTCTGCATAGATGAAATAGAGGAAAGTATTTAGGGGTTAACAGACTATAAGTAGATAATGTGGTATTGACTGAAGCAAGGCTCATAGGCTTTAAGTTACTAATATTTAAGCTGTAAGTTAGTACTGGTTTCTGATCACTAGAGACCAGGATCTCCATTCAGAGTCACAGAGGATAAAGACTGTTGCCTTTGTGGTGAGAGACGGGTTATGAAAGTTCATGAACATGGCCAACTTCAGAGTTTTGTATTTATTTTGCTTATTTGATTAAAAGCTTTGACTTTGGAGGAGGGAAAATAACTAGAAAAATTAAAATATTCATCTGAGATTCAATATTGTACTCGTAAATCGGTATTTTTTTAAGTGTGGCTTTAATAAATATGATCTAGGTGTCAGCGCTGTGAAAACTGGTTCTCAGGCCTTGCTCCTAGAAGCCCTTTTCTGTAGAATGCAGATGAATCTGAGGAGTCAGTGGCCTGCTGTTTTCAATCATCCTGGCTGAATATGTTGTAGACTCTTGACCTCACTCTGTGAAGCTCTGATGCTATTGTGGAATGAGTCATTGGGCCGTGACTGCTTCTCTGGGCAACTGGCCCAGGCAGTTTAAAATAGTATTTTGTTGTTTGAGAGATAAGGCAAGGTAGTCCATTAGCCACTTCCCTTTCGTACAAGAGAGCCTATAAATTTCCTCTCCTTGATTGCTTTTACTATGTTCCGAGACCAGTTTTTGTTGACAAGAGAGGAGACTATTTAAGAGCTACAGGGGATGGGGTGGGAGACAGAAAGCAAAGAGGACTCGGGGCCATCATTATCCATGATGCACAAGAAATGCTATGCTAGCCCTAGCACTCAATGTTATGAACCACTTATTGGCTCATCACACAGATAATAAGGATTCTGAAGAAGGCGCCACTAAACCCTGGACTTTAGTTTATCACATTCCTTTCAGTGACCAGCCAGTCAGCTAAGAAGCAGAACACAAGGAGAAGAAGACTAGGTTATAAGGCTCTCTGTGTTTCTAAGAAGTTAAACCAGCCTCATTCCCCTGGAACAGATGTATCGGAATGGAAATGGTTTCGAAGCCCTGAGAGAAATATATATTATCTCTACAGGGCCCCTGGGTTCCAAAAGAGCAGAGTTGGAGCAATTATCCTGCATTGTGAAATTGAAGATTTCCATGCTGATTGTGCTACCCAAAAAATCAGGAATGTACTTTAATATATTTTGTACATGAATTTTCATTTCTCTGTTGCCAAACATTTCCAAAGTTTTTAGAGGCATATGACATAACCTTCTGGTGTATTTTTACAAACACTACAAGACTCCTCAATATTTCTGGGTCTTTGACTCAACTGTTTTGAACTCCAAATAGTTGCTGACTATGGGATGTAGGAAGTACTCTGTACCTTGTTGTCTAGGACATTCAGTGTGGACATGGTACTATGTGCTTCATGCCATCTCTGGGTAGGGGAGGGAATATTTCTTCTAAGGAAACAGTGTACTTAAAAACACAGAAAAGAATGCTTCTCTAATTTTCTTTAGCTATCAAAAAATTAAAAATAATGTTTTCTATGTTTTTTTAGTAGTGTTCTATTTTGTCCAACTTTGTGGATCAATACCCATTTTTTTCTCCCTTACTTTTAATTTGGCTTTTATGTGACTGATTCTGTGATGATAGTTTGGAGCTTTTAAATTTTCTACATTTATTAAGTCTCCTATATGTCTTTTAAACATGTAAGACTAAATCCACACACCAAAGTAGGACTCATCGAGCCAGCTTTAAGTGGTACAGTGTGATCTGGTACCTGGCTACCAGTGTGACACCAAGATAATCCCTTTGTCTCCAACGTGGAGGAATCAGAACGAGACTCTCCTGCTGCCTGTCCATTAGAAACTTTAGTCAGATGGAGGAGGAAGTAGAATGAGAGCAAAGGGAAGAAAAGCAAAGGTAGATGGCAGCATCACAGCCATCTAGGCTGAACTTTAAAACATTCCCCACTACTTCAAAAAGGGAAGGGAACAGCAGAACATTCCAAGCCTGGGCCTAGTAAGGAAACTTCAAGGGTACTTACTTCTAAGAGAGCTTTGAAATGAATTTCTTGAAATTGAGATCTGCAAAGAATTGGTGCCTGTCCCCTACCAAAAAAAAGCTAAAGCTGACTGTGGGCTATAATTTAGCCCCACCCAGGAAATCTGTTAGGAAGAGAAAGACCAACTGCTAATTGACAGAGAGAGAAAGATTTCTTTTCATTGAGGTGGGACTGCACAGTCCCTGATCCCTACAGGCAAATCGACGAGGTTGTAGGTTAATGTTAGAATATCCCCATGTTCTTTCAGATTGAGGAGAATGTCCGTTTTTACTTGAAGGGAATCCTCAAACTGCTGACCTTTCAGTCATATTTCTGCTTCTCCTATCTAATAAACAAAAATGACTCAGAAATTGTCTCATTGGGAAAGGAAAGCATCTTATCTCCAAGGTTTTCAGATGCATTTCACCTAAAGAACTTGCTTAGTTAAAACAGGACAGGGATGTGAAAGATCACAAGCCTTGTAGTTTGCAGTCCCCACAACAACTCTGCCTCCTTATAGATACTGTAAACCTGAGAAGCTCTTAGAAACTTTATAAAAAATGCTATAAATATTTTAAAAAAAACAGGACAGGGGTTGCATCACTTTTCAACTAAGTGCTGTCTACAGAAGCAGACACGTATCCACAGTATCGTCATGCTTGTTACAGCTTGGATGAGGGAAAGTGGAAGGCAGAGGGCTATTAGTGTGAGCTGAGTCTTAGATGGGTGAATCTGGGCAGGGTGAAATAGCTGAGAAGGGTAGAAGTGAGAAATGAACTGTCTGACTCATCAGCAATGGAGGCGGCTGTAGCCAACACGAACTGTATCTAGCTCTCACTTCTGCAAGTTCTACCACTTGCCAAGATTGTGTCTGTATGGGAAAGGACTTCTCTAATGTAATTTTGTGCTCTTTAAGTAACTAACTTGACTATAACCCAAGGACAAATCAATTGCAGTACAATTATGAATACATATTTTATTGTAGTTTTAAAATAGAAAAAAAGGAGCTGAGTATACATTGAAAGCAAAGGCTGAAATGATAACATTGGAAGAAATTCAGATGCTATATGTTGCTAGCTATCCCTCTGTCTGAAGTACAGAAACCTCTACTGGTTAAAAAAAAAAATCACAATTCTGTTGGGCCTTTGCTAGGAATGTGGCAATACCATTTTGTCATTTTGTCTTCCTTTATTGTCCTAAGAATGAGACAGGGACAGAATGGTATCATTAAGTTCCACAGAAATAGCTCTGTGGATAACGTGCCTGCTATGTAAGCATAAGCATCTGAGTTCACATCCATGTGATATCCAGGCATAATGGCACACACACCTGTAATCCGAGAACTGTGGGTGGTGAGGTAAAGCAGCAATAGCTAGATCACTAGTGCCAAATGGTGGGCCAGCCAAGCCAAATAGATAAACTCTGGGTTCAGTGAGAGAACATATCTCAAAGATTAAGGGGAAGGGGAACTAAGAAAGACATTCAATGCCCTACCCACAAGCACATACACACTTGCACAGACTAGACTCTCCCACAACACATATATGTACACACCTAAACAAACAACATAACACAGACACACACAGAGAGGAGAGGAGGGGGGAGGGGGAGGGAGGAGGGGGAGAGGGAGAGAGACACAGAGAGAGAGACAGAAAGAGACAGAGAGACAGAGAGACAGAGAGAGAACTTTTACAAACAAAGAATGGTGTCCTAGTGAACCAGTTTTCCAAAATTAATGTTCTGGTTTGTAATGTTTCTCAATCTCCATTGTATAAAAATTCTCAGACTACGCAATTCCTAAAAATCAAACTATTGGTTCCTATGAAATAGTGGTAGCCTAAACACAAAAAATAGCAACACTGACAAGTTTTTATAAATACATATGATATAATTTTAATTTCCTGAGAAGATATGCAGACACAAGAGTCTTTGTTCCCTATGGCAATTCAGCAAGTATTCATAAAAAAATTAAGAAGAAATAGCTTAGCCTATATTAAGTATTTTTGTTACATGTAATAAAAATATTTTAAGTTAGTTTTATATAAAATATCACTATATAGCTTTTCACAAATACCCATAAATATTATAAATTGGTTTAAAATACTTTTCAACAAAAACTCACAAGCTGGCTAAATTTAACAGAGTCCAAAATTTGAACACAAATGTTCATTATTATTTGAAAAGTCAGCATGCTTGAGTGAGATGGACTTTTCCAACAGTATCCTGGATCTTCTTGCTCCAGGCAAGACGAGGAAAATGTCTGCTGGTAAAGAATGGCTGTCTTGTAGCTTCATTCTGGCCACCTGGGGTAAAGGCGATACACCCATTTCAAAGTTGAATTTATTCCATTTTAGAGATGTATGATGAGACCATAGAGACATCAGTTTCAAAGCAGAGAGCATGTGAGTGACATAATGAAGACCCCACTCGCTTAATTCATTGTGAGTTCTGAGTTGAGGTAAGAATCTCAGGATTCATCTATCCATGTTCTCACTGTGCAATTTTTTTCCCAAAAAAATCTACCCCATTAACATCATAGCATTGTAGTGTGGTATAGGAAAACTGTTATAATTGCCAGTTAGAGAACACAAACCAAAAATGTGCTACCATTGCATAATACAGCCAGAGAAGTACCAATTTCTGGTGTTAAATCTGATGAGAATTGGTGTAAACTGTCATTTTTCTATTTACAGCATTTATGCACATATACACACAAAAGCAACGAAAGGTTAGGGGAAAGTTCAGAATGAACCTGCATCCTGAGACTGACAAAAAAAAAAAATTCCCAGATCAATTCCATTTCATGCTATATCATCCTCTGTCCCTATAGGCTTCATAAAAACACCTCTAAAGAAAGGTAGTGTTGGCATGTCTTGGCCACTCTACCAGTCTGACATTTCACTAGGAGGCTCAGAAGGTGAGAGTCTGAAGGGATTAAGGTAAAACAGCTCAAGGAAATTATGATGGAAAAAAAGTCCAAGCTACTGCCCTACACCCTTTTTGCAAGCCAAGTAAGACTACCATAGAAACAGGATCATTCTACCCAGGGATCAAGATTAGACAGATATTCATTGGAAGAGTTTCTGTCTTCTGTTGCCCATACTCCTTTTATGATGGTTTGTACAAGTCCATTTGCAGACCTGACATTAGTGATTTGGCCCATTTACTGAATCCTCTTCAGACAGATATGAGGGTTAAATTTTTATATGCCAAGAGGCTCTGTTTGTGTTGATTTGTAAGCCCTCACAAACTGTGTACATTGCCAACAATCAACTCCCTCCAACCCACCCACTAGCATCTCTGGATACACTGAAGAAGAAAAGAAGACCAAACCCAATCTCTAGGAGATGAATGAGAGATCTGGCATTAAAATGATCCCCCAGTATGTATTATTTTTCTGAATATGGTCTTTAGAGTTGAACAGCAAATGTATGGTGTCTCCAGCATGTAGTTCATAGATCCCTCCTATAGGTAAGATTTGAAAATCATTCATTAGAGTTTGCAGGACATCATTGTTTTTTAATATTTGTACTACAAAGGGAGCAGGATTGTTTCTTAAGTATCTCTTATCCACAGGAATCACTTGGCCATAGATTAAATACACGCCTTTCTGAAGTATCTTCAGCATCCCATCAGATGTCATGTTCACACAATGAGGTTCAGGAGATGTCATTTGCCATTTTGAGGATAAGAGTTCTATAAGAAATTGAAAAGGAAGAAGAAAAAATTATGTTTACATTATTATTTCATCCTCTATCTGGTCGTGATATTTTCTTTACTGCCTTCAGGTAGATTCTTTACCTGAACTATACTACTTTTCCCAGACCATATTTTAAATCTACTGTAAGAATAAACCATCTCTCTGTTTTTGAGAAGCTGCAGATCCTTATGGCTCTGTACCTCTTCTCAGGTAATATGAATGAGGAATGTAGTGGGAGGGATAGAAGAATCATACAACAAAAGTAGAATAAGGATTGCTTATAATCCACACATCCCCATCTCTTTCTTGTATGAATACTATTTACTCTGTGGTGTTTTACCAATGACACAGTCCGTAATCAATCTACACTTAACATTGCTCTCCTCTGACTACCCTGCTCTATACTGCTTTAATTTTCTTCATATAAGGTGTCAGCAAGAAGCATGTTATAAATTAATTTTGCCATTTTTCTACTGTCTTACATCCATTTGAGTATGATGTCTTTGATAATAAGTATTCTCCATTTTTTCCAATTGCTATACTCCCATCACCTGAATAAGTTCTCAGAATTGTGTGTGCTCAACAAACTTTTATTTTGACATAGGATTCTGGCTGTATTGCCTGGTCTGGGCTTAAATGGCTGTGAGTTCAAGTGGCCCTCCCAGCTCAGCATCAGCAAACATCTACAAATTGATTGACAGGTCTGTATTTCTGAATTTCATGCTTTGTATTTAAAATATGGCTCTCCATGCCACTTTCAACCTCACATAGCATTATCTAGCTTACCTCCAAATATTTACTAGTACAAATTAATTAATATATGTGTATTTAATTAAATATAACTATCCCTGGTCTAATATTGCCATATGGGAAGTGGGATATGTGTACAAATTTAATCATTTCTTTTCCCATGTATTACATTGAAATATTTCCCTAAATGATAGTGGTCTTGTACAGCTATGTAACTTCAGGGCCCCGATAAGTGCTTTTACTGATTCAAAGTTTTTAATATGGATTTTGCTCTAATTTTTCATAGCTTTAGTTATAGAGAGAATAGCCTAAAAGAGGTTAGCGGACTTAGACTCTCATTCATGCTTAAATAACTAGGATAAGTAGATGCTGGAAGATAATGAAGGAATGAGCAGGAGAAATGAGAATGGAGGAGTATAAGCAAAAACAAAGACTTGCTGCATGCATCTCCAGTGAACTCTACATTTCTCCTTGGTGGCATGCAGTGGGTGGGTCTCCAGGAGCAAGTCTATTTTTTTCCTATTTAATTCAGTTTTGGGATTTTTTTGCAAAAGAACACCTTAGCATCGTTTTTTATCACAGCAAGGAAAATTTTTAAACACATTATATATTCTATTCCTTTCACTGAAAAAAACAAAACACAAAATTAGAGAGAGACACATTCAAAGACTGCCCTAACCTCTGGGCACCAAAGTATCTTGAAAAACTGGAGCAAAAGATGAAGAGTGAAAAACCAAATTAAAGAAATTGTCTACTATCAAATGAAAATGTGTTCCTTGGCCATGCAAACAATAAAAATATGTATACACTTGATATTTTGCAAGTGTTCTAAGGAATATTCTGAAACTTAGTGTGATGGTTAGTTTACTTATCAAATTGATACAATCTATAATCACCTGAGAAGAGAGCCTAAGGAAGAACTGTCTATATCAAGTTGGTTCTAGATATGGGAAAATCCAGCCCACTATGGTTGGCGCCATTCCCTAGGCAAGATGTCCTGAACTGTAAAGAAGTAGAGAAAAGAAACTGAATCTAAGAAAGCAAGCAAGTAAGCAAGTGCACTTCATTTCCCTCTGCTCTTGACTGAATGTGACTAGATGCTTCAAACTCCTGCGGCTATGATTTCTCCACATTGAGGGACTGTAATCTGCACTTGTGAATTAAAATAAATCCTTTTTCTCCAGAAGTTGCTTTTTGTCAGGGTATCTTATTAAAAACAACAGAAATGAAACTAAAACACTCAGCAGCACTGTTCTCCATGTTTTCTGAGCGAATGTCAGGTGACTGTCATGGAAAGTGACTCAGAAGCAAGGAGGAAATGCTTCTTCCTTCCCTTCTATGCACTTACTAACAGTAGCATTGGTTCCCAGATGCTAGACATTAGACATGTATGAAATACAAGAAATGCTTTGATGAAAGGTTGTAGGAATCTGACAAATATCCTTAATAAACCACCAAACTTGAAGCTGATTGCTGTATGCAGATCCACAAGTATTTTAGTGGGATGTCTATGCCTGCTAAGAGTATCGCCAGGTGTGGATTTGTCAATCAGGCTCAGTTCTGGAGCCTCAGCTCTCACTGGGCAGATGGCAAGTATGGGATGAGTGACTGTAGTAACAATAATTGAAAGTGAGCAAAAGGATGCACGGGCTTCCTGAGGGCACTGGCAGTTGCCTCTTGCCTCAGAATCTAACAGAAATGAAAGGAAACCATGGAAGATGGGTTACTTACCAAACTTAACCATGCAGAGGTCTTTGGCAGTTGGCTGTAGAAGGAAAAGAAGAACTTGTCAGAATGATGGCACCATTGCTACTTGCTTGACTAATTATTTAGAGCTTAAAGTTTCTGAAGCAAACTACTTTCCAACCCCCCCAACCCCTCCCCTAAAATGCTACCCCCCAACATACAAACACAGACACCTATACAACTGTCTTACTTCTTTCTCTCTACAGATGACGGGCTCTGTCCTTTACATTTGACTTACAGTCGGCTTTGACATTAAAGTTTTAGGAAGACAGGAGGAAGCAAGTGAGAATGGATACACAGGCAGAGGTGTATTAGGCACACTAGTTTAGCTGTATATGGAGACAAAGGAAAGCATGAATAGAGCACTGAGCAGCATTGTTTTAATTTTTAAAATGATGTCATTGAATGATAGATTTGATAATGAGAAGAAAGGTAACAGATCTTTTTTTTGGGGGGGGGTCTTTCATCCAGGACTTTGGTGTTTCCTTCTGTTCATTTACCTTTGACATACAAGGCAAGTGTTGAAGCTGTGTTATTCCTCTCTAGTTTACTACAAACACCAGTCTCCATATCCCTATCATTTCCCAAAAGATGATCTGTTGCATATGGGAAAAAATAATGGAACCTCTGCTTATGTTTCAATTTAATTAAAATAACAGTAAATTGGCTCTAGAAATGTTTAATGTATAGAAAACCAAATGCCATGTATAATAACTAGGATGCCTTCAGAATCAGAAACAAGTGTTTCAAAATGTCTGCAACATGCCTCATCTTACGGTCTGAAAGGTGACATTAATTATGGCTAATTTACAAATGCAATCACTTAAATGCCATTAAATGCTTCAGAGTAAAAAGGCACAAACATCAAAGTTTTTGGTACTCAAAATGTGCTCATCCCACTAAAAAATGCTCAAAAAACTTTTTAAAAGATGGAGATTGATACATGTCTCTTTTAAAGGATTTGTCCAACTATTATGTTAGGGGGAAAAACAAAGAGAATGGAAGGTAAAAGCAATGAAGTCGGTTAGGCATGGATTGGAGTCTATAAACCAGAAAGCACAGTGCCTCTGACCAAGGGGCTGGCAGAGGGGAAAAAAGCCAACTGGTTTAATAGAGCGATGTATGCCTGTCATAATAGCACACAGGCGGAAACAGGAGAACTGTGGCTTTTAGGTCTATCTAGGCTATATCTAAAAGGAAGGAAGGAGTAACTGGAGTTCCTGACATGAATACTGGCATGAGGCAATGGGAAGAAAGAAAGATTTGGGACTGCAGTCATTAAAAAAAAAATTAAGTTAATTGCCCAAAATGGCAAGACTAAGAAGAATAAAGTAAGAGGGGAACCACCACAACTTTTGACGTGTTGATTTGTGGTGCTTATTAGATATCAAGTAGACAGTTAGAGATAAGATGCCAACACTCATTGCTTTCAGACATGACATTATATGTGAACATCAAATCCATGAAGGTAATTTTCAATTGGTATAGTCAAAAATCATAAATCATACTAAATTAGTCTATAAATCTCAAGTTACTGTATTATATAATGTTAAGCTAAATTTAAGGAAATAAAACAAATATCAAATCACTAGGGCTCTGAATGTGACTAAGAGATAGAGAGGGTCAGCATCACAGAAACAATATTTCAACTATTTTATTATAAATGTTAATCTATTATAGACAACTTACCAACTTAACTAAAGCAAAATAGACTGGGAAGTCTGTCTTAAACTTTTAGAGTTGTGAGTTTCCATCTCATGTGTCTGTTTTGTGTACATGGTATTATTCCAAGACATGAGATACTATTTAGTGTACATCTGTTGGGAGTTATAATAAAAGAATCTTATACTGATAAGTGGGTGCAATAGAAAAGGGGAGAAGCCAGGAATCTAAAAACTAAAAGACACTGGATCTCCTGAAACCCATTGTACTCTTGCGATTATTTCATCCACATTTTTGGTTTTCTTAGAAAAGATGTCCAAAGTCAGTCAGCACAAAGACTGACAGGCTTACAGCAGGGACTCCCAGAACTCCAGTTTCCTTATCTATTAACCAGGGAGTACGAGCAGGGTTCACTGAACCTGTTGTTCTTCCTTTACTATGCTTATTTTTGGAGAGGACTTCTCCAGACATGCTACCTGAAGCTTCTCAGTAAATATCAGCTATTTTGATAATGATGCCGATTATAAAAACAAATTAAACAAACAACTTAATTATCTATAGTCTCAACACTATACTAGCATTATAAGCAAGAGAGAGAAATTTAATGTACAATTGTTACCTCTCAGAAAGTATTCTAACTAGAATGACATGATCACACATATGAAGCAATCAAGTAGCCCCCAAAATATAAATGTCATGGGTTTTGTTCCAGCTATCACCATGTGTAAGGAATACGCAGAAAATCTAAATCTATAGATGAATGAACTGACAGAAACAAACATCCAGAAAGCCTATTGCTAGCTGCTTTAGTATCTATTTAGGGTTAGAAAACACCACTGAGTTCATCTGTAACTATTGCCATAAGTAAAATGTAATTGGAAAAGTATCAGTTTGGTTGAAAGATGAGGTCTTTTACTGAGGAAAGGAGGTCAGACAAACCATGCATATTTTAAATGACTTTGTTGGTTTGTATTCATTTTGTAAACCTTATAAGTAACAATGGTATGAATATTAATCACAGCCATCTAGAGCCTAGCATGAGTCAGGCACATTACTGCCTCATTATTCCTTAAGGCAACTCTGTAAGAATTACCATGTTCCTTCTGCAGATGAGGAAATGAGAGCATGGTGATGAAGCAATAAGCCCAAGGTCATAAGGCTGATAAGAGAGGCTGGCATCCCCAACCAGACTCTTATTCAAAACTCTCCCTCACTCCTACGACTCACTGAGGCAGTTTCTATTTATAATTCTGGTGATGTTACGAAAAGCTACAAACAAAGCTTTCCGTTTACTCTAGTTTGCTTTTATTTAGAAGGATCAGTTGCTCTTCTAACCTCACTTTAGTTTAAGACTAGATTGACTTGGTTTGTCTCAGAATGACCAAAGCAGACTCCAAGCTAATCCTGACCGCATATGTTTGGAAACGAAATCTACTCTGTCTGTTTGCAAGCTACAGTTGAACAAATTCCATTTTCCCTGCTGGAATTCCACCCTTCATCACTGAAGAAAGGGACTTTCCTGACTATTTGGATTCTTCAGAGACAACTTTTGTGAACTACTTTCATGGAGGAGTTGGCCAACCTTCTTGAGCTTGAGTCTAGTCTACTAACTAGATGTCTCCTGGAAGAGAGAGAGGAAAAAAATTATCCCAGGATGATTTCTGATGATCTGAAAGAAACCAAGTTTCATATCTTACTTTTAAAATAAGAGGTTTTTTTTTTTTAAATGAGGATTTTTTTTTTTAGAAGAAGAGATTTTTAAAGATAGAGATTTGCACCAAAAAAAAAAAAAATGATGGAGTGGAAGAAAAAAAAAAAACCAAACTTCTAAGATCTTAAGTATGGAAAGGTGGAAGTGACCACCTCATAATGACATACCACCTGCCAGCCACTCAACTCTCTCTCTGCTCAAGACATTTATTTGTAGCTAATAGGGAAAGGGTAATCCTGAAGGCCAGTGCCATTTCCACAGTAACTATGCTGCCAAGCATCCTGACAGGGAAAAAGACTCCAAAACTTTTTACTTCCCTAAATTTGGGATAAACTCTTAGTTATGTTTAGAAGAGGAACCCTTCATTGAAAGGGGTGTGTTGATTTGAGAGGATAATCTGGAATCAAAGTTTCAGAAATCATGAATTAACTAAGTTTGATTGTGGGAAGAGCTGTCACTCAGAAAGATATTTTCCTCAGCAACTCATCACAGGAAGGACTCAGTAGCACCTAGACTCACTGATGCTCAGAGCCACCTGACTTATAAGACCTGAGGAAGTTTGCAGGAGGAAAAAAGCATTTCCAGTGTGAAATTAATGCATTCTCATCTTTCCTCCTTTCAACACTTGAGGATGCTGATCGTCTGTTCAACATTCATTGCTTCAGAAAGTTCATGTCTTGGTTCATTCTTTGGAAGGGTGGGGCTGGGGTTAGAACTCCCTCTGCCTTTCATCCATTTGTACAGTTACAGACTACAGGATAATGGGCTCCTGTGTAAGCCTTCAGCCAGTACCACACTAACTAACCTCCACTCAGCAGTGCATCGATTCCTGTACATCTTTTCTCAATATCTTGCCAATGTAGAACCAGACCTTTGAGATCATCGCTGGTTGGTCTCCTTAGAAAAGTGTTTCTGAGCTCACATCACAACTCTTTCTTACAAAGGTATACATCATTTTATTCTGCCCAAGATTTAGTATCTTTTAATATACCCAGAAATAGGCCAACTTTTGAATTATTTAATTCCTTTCTGGTCTTTCTGGTAAATGCTTTTTTCTGTTTGTTTTGTTTTGTTTTTGTTGTTTTGTTTTCTCTGTGTAGCCCTGGATGTCCTGTAAGAGAAAACACTTCTAGAAAGAACCTAACTGATATACATTCCCAGTTCAGATCTCTTCTAGACCCACAATTTACACTAGTGTTCAATGGGAAATTCCTGATAACTGTCAGGGGCTTCCCAAACAGATATGTGCTCCTTCCTCCTCCATGAAGCCTTCCCTGGTCACCCCAGCCCAAAGTCATTGTCCTCATAAACTACAACTATATATGGTTTATCCTACTCGTAGGTAAATCTCTGAGGACTGTAATTACAGCTTGCAGGATATTAAGTAAATAAATCCATGTTGCAGACCTAAAAACTAGAATCAGAACAGTGATACAACTTTCTCAAATGTGCACAGCTGGTTATGGGAAAGCTAATCTAGAACTGGAACTCAGGTTTTCCTTTTTTCTAGTTTGGCACAATGCCTGTTGCAGACCTAAAAACTAGAATCAGAACAATGATACAACTTTCTCAAATGTGCACAGCTGGTTATGGGGAAGCTAATCTAGAACTGGAACTCAGGTTTTCCTTTTTTCTAGTTTGGCACCATGCCTGTCTTCAATATGCACTTGCTTCCTGTTACTTTATTCTGTCTCCCATTATTATTTTGTGACTCTTCCCCCAATGAGACCACAGCTTGTCTGGAATTACCTGAAGTCAAGCACCATGTTTCAGGTCTCTTCTTTGCCTATCAAGAAGGTACTAATGGAATCCCAGGAAGGAAAAAAGAACCTCCACAGACTAAAGTCTTGGTTTAAACATGTAATTCTATCTAGTTCAAGCCTACAGAGAACTTATAGTATTTTCTGGTGTCTTTTGTCTTAAAACATTTAGATGAATAAAAACCCATTTGAAGAGCTATGTCATTACAAGGCTTAAACTGTTTACACTATTTGTACTGTCAAATGTCTTCCTTCCCACTACCTCTAGTAATGCTGAGTGGCAATGATAATAATAGGACTAACAAATAAATAACATTTATATGATATAATTAGCAGCTGTAGGCTCTATTACCACCTTACCTTGAGTGAAGTGTAGATCAGTGTACCCAAGGCACAGAACAGCATCAGCAACAGAGCAACTATGCATAAGAACCATGGCTTCCTGAACCTCTTTGCCCCTCGAGGACTTGACTGGCTCAAAGGCATTTCCTCCATGAGGCTAGAACTCGTTCTCTGGAGAAATGAGAACTGCGGAAAGCAGATACTCACAAGTGATAGATGAACAGTGCAATGTCATGTTTTATAGTAATTAGCCAGCCGTGGGTGTGAGAGGTGGAGTTTTCCTTTGGAACACTTCTAAGCTAAGCACTCGCAGTCATCCTGGCACCAGGCCAAACATACAAAGGAATGAGAAGGCTTAGAGCCAACAGAAACATGGGCGGGCAGACGAAAGCCACTACGAGGGAAGTTCAGAAGGAAAAAGTCTTTCCTGAAGAAGAGGAAGTACTGTGTGCATGCACAGCCAGCCTCGGATGCCATAAGACACTGCATTCCAAATTATTTCCAAGTAAGAAAAAGTCTTGTAAGACTAAATAAAATTTAAAACTAAGTTTTGCGATACTGCAGATGTAACAACTGGGTAAGACAGAGAGGTGAGAAGCTGAAGAGTAAGGATGCATGGTTTAAACAGCATGGTTCTCATGAAGTTGTACACTTCACATTGGTACCATTTTAGAGATACATGTGTTTTGTTTGTCAGTCACACCTTGGTAGAAGTTTTAAGACATCAAATCAAAGCTATAATCACACACAAAAAATATTCTAAGTTACAAAATGTGTTTATTCTGAAATAGTCTTGAAATAAAAGCAGCAACTAGGGGATAGAGAGATGGCTTGACCAGTAAGAGCATGTTTAGTTCCCAGCAGGGTGTTAAAGGTTGGGGGTTCCTCAAACCACTAGCAGCTGATGAAGTGGAAATCACAGTCCAGAGAGCATTTTGTAACAAAGCTAGATCTGTCTTGGTTTCACACTATTTTGGGCAGTATTTCCTACTGAGTTGTCAAAATTTCAACTTGACCCTATTGTATCTTGAAAATAAGCTACTCTTGAGGAAAATGGTAATAGAAAGATAATTCTTCAATGTATCAGATATTTTAATGACTATTGTACTAAATACCATCTCAGAGGGATGAATGAGAAATTGACTCTTGAGGAAGAGCACCTTTCTGTAAATCTCGACCCTGTTTCATGCCCACCACCGAGAAGCAGAGCTTTTTCTTTCTTGCTCATCCTATCTCCCCTTTCTTGTATCCTGTCCAAATGTTAGACGGAACTTCTGCTTACTCACCTCAGTAGAGATGCATTCTCATGAGTAACTGGTCCAAGTAGAAATCCACATCCACCTTCAGATAAGGTTGGGCTTGGTGTATTCTTATTTTAGCTATATGACAGTATCTAAAAAAAATTGACACAGTTATCTTGAGAAGAATGTACATTCCAGGGCTTCTTTCCATTAAATGGGACCCAGAAATGATGAAAGTTCAAGTCAGCACAGGAGACACTAGGGAAGGATTTTGGCATTCTCAAGTTTTGAGTCATAACTGGTTCCTTGTTAGCATAAACCAGAAAGAATATTTTGTGCCATCCCAGGATTTGACAAAGGCAGATGAATACCAAATCCAATATTTGCCTTAATTTAGGGATCTCTTGGCTTAGGTATTTGTAAATGAAAATTTAAACAATCTTAAAATCCAACTAGCAAATCTAATTTTTCTTTTATATTTGAGATATAATTATGTAATATATTCCTTCCTTTTTATCCCTTCAAACCCCCCAATATACACCTTCTTGCATGGAGATTTGGGAGAAAGTTTAAATCACAGTTACCAAAGAATTTTCCACCCAACCACATTAAAACCATACACATAGGGAGATCTGTGTCCATATGGATATTACATATAAGACAGAAATAAAAAAAAAATCTAAGTAAGTTGAAATCATTGAAAAGGTAGGTTAGGAATGGTTATCATAGCAGAAGGAAATAAAATGCTTTTTCCCCGAAGGAATAATAAAACCTAAGGAATATGTTAAGAGACACCTAAAAATGTTAGAAATTAAATTAAATGAAAATGTTTTAAAAAAAATTTAAAAATCTTTTTCAGGTTGAAAGAAAGGGATCTGAGATGCACTCAATCAAATAATGTAAATATATTCATTATTGTCTTAAATTGAGAATGAATTAATTATATAGATATGTAGTTGTAATTCAATTATGGATTAGTAACACCAAAACATATTAGACATTCACTCTGCATAATCATTACATTTGAACATTAAGCAATCCTTCATTAAATGGTCCTCTATAAACATGATCAAGGTGACACTTGGAAGGATAATTCATTAGCTTATACAAATGGAAGAGGAATTGAATCTTCATCTGTTGAACCAGAACACTCATTGTGAGAGTCTGTCTCTATACTAGATATATATGGTGGGAAATGTGTAATATCGGTGACAGAGCATCAATACATGATCAGCTTCCTCTATACCTCTGTGTAACTTGGATCTACAGACCTTGGCCCAATCTCCTCTTACAACTATTTATTTTTATTTCGTTCTGGTTGATAGTGTATGGCATCTCACATTCAATCAGAAATATATACTAAGTCAGAACTTAGTGAGGAATGATGCACAGGATCTAAACTACTCTAGATATTAGAGTATTTCCTGCCATGTTTTCTCAAACATGGCACATCTGAGATAAATAAATGAATGTAATTACATACAGAATAGAGAAGAGGAGGAGAAAAGGGAAAAGAGGAGAGGGAAGGAGGGGAGGAGAGGAGAACGGAAAGTATTGAGAGAGGAAGAGGAGGGGTATGAAAAGAGTTGAAGAGGAGAGGACAGGAGAGGAGACGTTATTACATAATTAGTATTTCAATCATGGAATTTTAATGCAAGAACTATTAAGATTTGAATTAAAATACAATAAATAATAAAATAAAATGAATTCCATCAAAAAAAGATTGATAAATGTCTACTATATAAAAATAATTATTGGACAAAGTATGTAGCCTAATCAGTGGTTGAGTGTTTGCCTAACCTATACAAGGCCCTGAGTTTGATCACCTAGCCCCAACACAAAAATGCTAGCTAGTAAATAATTCACTATGTGTAAGTAAATATATATGTTCATCTATATGTAGATATGTGTATCTATATGTGAAGATGTATACATACATGTATATATTATATCTACAATAATTCTGTTATACAGAGTTCCTTATAACAATCCTCAGAACATCTTTCCTAAAGAGCTAGATATAGTCCTAGTTGAGGTATTCTAAGCAATATTTTCCTTTAAATCATACTTTTTAATTGTTTAGCAGTTTCATACATTTATCTAATGAACTTTGTCATTTTCGTTTTCTCTTTTCCCATTCCCCTGTCTTGTCCCACTTTCTTTTTCTCTGGAACACTTCTCAATAAATCCCCCCCTTTTTTTTTTTTTTGGTTATAGTGGTTATGCTATTGATCACTGATTGAGTTCAGAGTGAAGGGTTATAACAGTTGTTCTCAACCTTAAAAATGTTGTGATCCTATAATTCACTTCTTAATGGTGTGGTAACCCCCAGCTATAATTTTTTTTCTCATTTTTAATTTTTTACTTCACTTTACATCCTGCTCATCACCCACCTACCAATCAGCCCCTCCCACAATATTTCCCACCCATTCCCTTCTCCTTCTCCTCTGAGCATGCGGGGATGGAGTCCCCTGGGTATCTCCCCACCCTGGCACTTCAAGTCTTTTCAAGCCTTGACACTTTCTCTCCCACTGAGGCCAGATAAGTCAGTCCAGCTAGATAGACCTATCCCACATACAGGCAACAGCTAATAAATCCCTCTTATTTTCTCAACTTCCTGTTGTTTGTGTGTGGCACACAGAGTTAATGAGCATTTTGTGGCCCAAGTGTGTGTGGCAGGTTTATTCTTCTGGGGCAAGGATTATTTATCATGGCTATACCAATGAAGAAAATAACATCAAATCTCTCCAAAACTTTTAATTCCCAACAGTCCCTTCCTTGGAAGGGGTGTAACCTCTCAGGGCCCCTCCAGACACAATCTTGTACAGAAAAGCACATCTACAGTTTATGAGTGCAATAGCTATGTCTTCTTTTGAGGATATCTTGTACATCTCTCCATCCTCTGGCTCTTCCTTTCTTTCCACCCCCTCTTCCGTGATGTTCCCTGAGTCTTTGGAGAGAGTAGTGCAGTTGTCCCATGTAGGATTACCATCACTTACTTTTGTCATTTTGGCCAGTTGGGGGTTCCTACATTAACTGCAGTCTGCTATAGAAAGAAGCTTTTCTGATGGAGGTTGTACATAGCACTAATCTCTAAGTATTAACATGAGTATTTAGAAGGCAGTTAGACAGTAGGATCCTTTAGCAAAACAATAGTATCAGGTATCCAGTTGAGCCTATGACTTCCCCTACCATGAACTCTTGATGAGATTAACAGAACCAATGCATGAGTTGCCTCCTCAAATCCAATGAGAAAGTGATTGGTTTCCATAACAGCTATCAGGTCACTACTGCACTAGGAAGGCACATCTTCCCTGGCAAGCCATTTAATTGCAGGATTCACAACTGGATAAGATCAAACTATTTCAATCTCTTCATTTGGAGAGTTGCTTCTGTGCTCCATATTGTCTTGCTTTGTTTTATCTTTTCATGCAAACTTTTTTAGAGTTCTTGTTCCCGCCCCTGTTTTTGCTATTCATGTATGTTTTATTAACACAGTAATAAGTAACAGTTACACTGTCCAATTTCCATAGAAGTCTTTATTTCTTTAAACATCTGCTTTACTATCAATCTTCTAGAATGACTATGTGAGGTTGCAAGTTCCTGACTCTGTACTCTGGGGCCTGAATCCACTATGTCAGTCATCATGTAAATATCCTGACTGTGGGAGATGCACTTTTTAAACATCCTTCAATGAAAGAGAAGATGTGGGAAAAAGATATTGGCAGAGTCCCACAAACAGGAGAAAGGTCCAGAATTCCAAAGGCTGGAAGCTTTGGCGATGGCAGGCCTCAAAGACCTGTCCATAGTTTCAAAAGGGTTTATTTTCATGGCAGATGGTAGATGGCTCTCGATGCACTGCCCACCCACTCCCCTCCCCTGTAAAACTCAGGGCAGACCCGAGCTAAATAGGGAGGGAGAAGGGGAAAGGGTCTGGGAAAGAACGCTTAATTGGCCTTCAGGTATCTCATTAGTATATAAATACCTCTAGGGCCTGAAGCCTATAGTTACACTCTCTACCTGTGCACTTTGGGAGGGGCTGTAATGGCCTATGTGACTGAACAGTGCAGGTCAATAGAGATCTTAGACCGCATGTTAGGAGCCTGGATTCTGGGAGCACAGCAGAATGGATGCTCGCCCCTTGCAGGGTCTCCGGGCTACTTCCAGGCAGCACTCTACCAAAAACCAAGACCCCTTTCACTGCCCGACAAGAAAACTTTCTTTTCATAAGTTATACTTAGAATGGCTCTTCCCATTTTGCAATATAGCATGATTCCAGCAACTATGAAACCATAAAACACTACCTTAGATGATGTAATAAATCTTCATTTCTGTTAAACATATTTTGCCCAATATCAGAGATTTGGGCAAATACAGAAAATTATGTTTTTATCTGACAATCTAGTTGAAGTAAAAGGTTTTAGAATTCCTGGGACCAATTATTTTACCCTACTCTCCTGGGGTTCCTTGATTATCTCTGGAAAGGAGTTTGGGGAAGTTTTTCTTAACCTAATATTTATCTTTCCACTTGAGGGACATCTCCAAGTTCACACTTCAAATGATGGCGTAATTGGTCCAGTGTAGAGCCAGCAGTGTGTTCTCAGTGTGCATTGCCCCACTCTGAGTTGTGTTTCTATAAAAACACATTTTTTTTTCTTTCCTGGTTATCCACTAACACTCCTGCTTACATGTGAATCCACACACTGCAACTCGTGGTTAGATTTATTTATTTATTTATTTATTTATTTATTTTTGATGTTGAGCTGGAAAGTTAAATTAATAAGAAAGACTTGAGCACTTCTCTATGCAATGACTTCTGCATACAATAGAATATGCTGCTGTCCTTATTCAATTAGGAATGCATTCGGAAGACTGCCTACCTAACACCTTCTCTGTGCTAATACAATGTTAGACACTTACGTGCTGATAGACGAAGGCCAATTGCTACAAATTTCATACTGTTTCCTTCTTGTTGGCAACTGGGGAAAGAAATACATCTATGAGATCAATACAGGGAGTGCTGTACAGCTAAGCTGAGTACTCAATATCTAAGGACATATTTTATAAAAGAGGGAATGTTTGGGCTGAGACAAAGTCACCAGGAAGGTGAATCAATTAGCTAC